TTAACCGCTACATTAAGGGTCTAGCCCATCAGTTTTACAACTTGATACATATCTTTTTTTTTTTTTTAAGTTGATTTCTTTTCATGAGAGACAGCACCTTCAACAGTTTCATTTTGTGATCCTTCTTCAGCCTCTCCCTGCTAGGATCACAGTGTATGATTGTTTCATGTGTATGAATTGACTAGGAACTAAACCCCAATCTTTCTTATGGCTTCCAGCATTGTAGAGTAGTGTGCTATTGCTGTGTCACTGTGGCTGGGCCTGTATCATATTTTTCATGATAATGCAGTATCTGTTTCATAGTTCTTTTCTACTTCCATAATTTGATATCTAGCATACTTTATTTTACCTGTTTAACCTTAATATCCATGCATTTTCTAACTTTGTATAGCATAGGAGAAAATTAATGATATTTGGATGATGGCTCTCTTATCATTTACACATAATTTTAAAACATAGTTTTAGATTTACCATCAACTGTTTGTTTACCTTATTTTCCTTAGAACCCACTTTCATATTTTTGTGGGGGGTTATAGTATATTATTCATACTGAATTTTTGGCAATTTAATCAACATAATTCAGCAAAATAGATCATAAAATCCTATGTTGACAAACTACTTTTTAATCTCAAATGTTCAGTCCCTTTTCTAAGCTAAAATACTTTATTTTGTATGGCTGGGTTTGCAGGAAAAACACATAAAGGAAGAGGAGGGATCAATTTAGTTTATATTTTATTTAAATCCAAAAAGAGAAAAGATGTTTCTTATCAGAAAAAAGAAAGCAGGAAATAATTTTAAGCAGGGGAACCAGATTAGGATATTAGCTATTATGCTGTTACTTGATTAATATTGCTTAGAATGGCATTGTTATTTTTCTTGAACTTTTACTGACCTCTCATAAAATCTCATATGTGAATGTGAAGTATATTTTAAAAGCAAACACAGGTCCAGTTGCAGAAGCCTGTGCTACTAAGGCCCGTGCTCCTCAGGTTGAGACTACACTGGAGCCCCGGGTTAGATTCCTGCCTAACCTAAATGCTGGGTGCTATGGCAGTCACCTGTAATCTCAGCAACTTAGAAGGCTAAGGCAGGAAGATTGGTGAACTTGAAGCTGGCCTGGACAACATAACAAGACTCAGAGCTGGGTGTGGTGCCATGTGTCTGTGGTCTCAGCCACTCAGGTGCTTGAGGCAAGATCGTGATACAATAAAACTCAATGTTGAAAAAAAATACAAAAAGTAAACCTAACATGATGGATTTTTATATCATTTAATAATCATTCAAGATACTTCTGAATATTAGAATGGATGATGAAGAGTTTATTGTATTTTTGAGTTAACTCTTAAGATACACGATTGGGCCGGCCCTGTGGCGTAGTGGTTGGAGGAGCTTGACTCTGCATGACTGACACATGGTTTGAGTCTCAGCACTGTCAGCTTCAAAACATCCTGGGCACATATACATGTGTGCCCAAAATCTTAACAGGATGGAGAAGTGGAATAGAAGGGATTGTAGCGTGACTGCACTCCACTGGCGGTGTTCTTTTTCCCTTTTACTCTCTGTCTTTCTGGCAACACATGCACCCTTTGGCAATTTTAAAAAAAATACATGGTTGTAAAATTTTAGCCCATTGAACTGAAAGCTTTGCAAAATTCACAATGAAAATTCAGTGATTAAGATCACAGAATGTGGTATTAAGTGGATCTGGGTTTGAATTCCAGTTATCACCTACTTAAATGCCCTCAGTTTCATCATGTGTAAAATAAAGATAATATTAGTTACTACTGCACAGGATTACTGTGAATATTAAATTATATAACACATTTGAAATTCTTAGCAAAACATGGCACTTAGTAACTACTCAGTGAATGTCAGCCAGATAAGCTAGATCCTGTTCCTGATTCTGTAACTAACCACTGCATCTTATGATTTTGATCAGATTATTGTTGGCTTTTCTCCACTCTATTTCTTCATTTTTGCACTGGGATTAATTATACTATGCCTCGTTGGGATAATTTAATAATATGATGATACCTTTTTATATAAGCTCCTAATAAATAATAGATGCTGAATAAAAGGACGCTTTTTCTTCCTGATACTATCATGAATGCAGAAGCTAAAAATTTACCCGAACACCTTAAATGGAAAGGTAAAACTTATGTGTTTTCCACTAGCTATTTCTTTCGGTGAGAATATATTGATTATGACAAGATGCTTCAAGATGTGAATACATTGCTGTGATTCCATTTTCTGTGATTGTTGAACTTAAACTATATAGTCTGTATAACAAGTAGGTAAAGGCAGAATGAAATTGACCCTGTCGATACCCTATTAAAAAAAATACTCTGTGTACTGGATGATTCTACTCGTTCTTACATATTGCATTTAATAGTGATTGTTTGCAGAGATGCATATTTGAGTCATTGCTTTATGTTTTTCCTAGCAAGAGAATAGTTTTCTGTATTTTTACTCCTATATGTAACGAAAAAGTCTAAAATATTTCACCGAGCTACCAAGGAAAACTGTTATTATACCTATATATATTATTGTCTGAAATGACACACAAGTATGATTTTCAAACTTTCAAAAAAGTTCTGCAAGACTCTATTTAAACTAAATATTATGCAAAAGTTCAATAGTGTTTTGTTTTTGTTTTTAAAGATGAAATCAAATTGCTTCATTTGCTACAGGGTCAGAGAACAACAAGTATATAATAATTACCCACGTACCACACTCACACTGGCAGCCAAATGCATTCCAGGGAGCAGAATCTGAAATCCTTGATCTAGGTACATGATGTTTAAAATTACATTTTCAGTTCAGTAGTGAAATGTATATACTATATGTTGCATCTACATTGATTGTTGATTGATTGATTAATTGATTGCTGTAGAGTACATGCACTCACTGGAGAGAAAAAGAAAATGAGAAAGCACCCCATAGGAAGAATGGCCATGAAGCAATCCCTTCTTCTCCATTCTCTTCTCAGGATTTTGGCTATTCACATACACATGCCAGTGTGTTTTCAAGCCACCGTATGCAGGACTTGAACCGTGTAGTCAACCATGTGGATCCAGCCACCTTAACCACCATACCTATGGCTACCTCTACATTTAAGTTTTTTTGTTGTATTTTGTTTTTTGGTTTTGGTTTTGAAAGTTTTTTTTTTTTTTCTTTTTTTTTTTTTTTTTTTGCTATAGGGTGTGTGCACTCGCCAGAAAGACACAGGGAGACAGAAAGCGAGAAATCCCTCCCACACACACACACACACACCGTAATCCTTCTCCATTCTCTCGGGATCTTGGGCATGCATGCACACATGCCTGGCATGAGTTTAAGCCACCCAATAATCTGGGACTTGAACCACAGTCGACTACATGGGAGTCCAGTGACATAGCCATTACACCAACTTTAAGTTTTAAATTTTATACTAACTTTAAAAACTAGTATTATCCCATTTTTAAAAATCTTTATAGGAACAAACATATGTATGAGGGTCCTAGGCAGCAATAACAAAAGGGATAAATTCTACAAGCAAATGAAAATACATCCCTCATCCCCAAAGTTCATGTTTTGAACATCCATACTTGTACATATGAACTTTCCTTGTATTGTTTACTTTAACTCAGTGGTGGAAGACCTTAGTGGATATATACTTGTTGAGGTTTCTGAACAAAACTCCATGCGTACTGATTTTTTTAAATAATAGACAAGTAATTGATTTTTGCGAATGATTTTGAGTAAGGTGATTTTCATATTTTGTTTTATGTACCCAGTTAAAATTTAATGTAAAAAAGTAACTTACCTAGAATAAAATGGAGCTTACCATATATTCTAAAAAAAGAAAAACTTTTTAGAAACAACAAAAATTTGGCTTTTTAGAAACAACAGAAATTTGGCTTATACTGAATTTATGTCTTTATTATCTAGTGAACCACATTTGATTGGTTTTCTGAAAAATGTTTTTTTATTTTGTTTTGGTTTAGTTTTTTAACATTTCTCTTAAGTGCATGCACTCACTGGTGAGAGAGCGAGAGAGAAAGTGAAAAAGCAACCACCATGGGAAATGGTCATGCCACAATTCTTTCTCTTCCATTCTCTTCTTGGAATTATGGGTACATATGCACACATGCCTGGTGTGTTTTTCTTTTTTTTCTTTTTCTCTCTCTTTTTTAGAATTATTTCATTCATGTTATTACTATTTTTTTTTTTTAATTTAACCAGAAAAAGAGAGACAGAGAGGGAAGAAGCAAGTCTCCATATCCAGGACTTGAACTACAGTTGGCCATGTGAGAGTCCAGCGCTTTAACCACCATGCCACCTGTGTTTTTCAGACTGTCAGGTCCAGGACTCAAACCACATAGTCAGCCTATGTGGGATCTAGCCACCTTAACCACAGTGCACCTGGCTGTTCCTGAAATAAATCTGAAGTTCTCTTTCTTTTTTAAGTTTAAATTTTTTTTGTAATACAATAATCCTTTATAGTGTTAGTATTTACTAATACAGAGTTTTTGTTTGTCAAGGAGTTTACCTTTTTACAGTCATTTTCTCTTATAGGGTGGTATAAAATGAATTAAAAACCTATTGTGGGACCAGCAGATGGCATAATGGTTATGTTACTGGACTCCCGCATAATTGACTGCATTTGAGTCCCAGCCCCAGTGACATAAAATTCACATGGGATACATGTTTGGGCATGTATGCACACACGCCCAGCATGAGTTTAAGCCACTGTGTGGCATGATAGTTAAGGCACTGGACTCCTACATGGCTGACTACAGACCTGGCAGTGTGCTTTCTCATTTCTCCTTTCTCTCTCTGTGGTCAAATTAATAAAATAATAATAATGATGATGAATAAAATTAAATAAAATAATTCTTAAAAAGAGAAACCTAGTGCATATATAATTCCAGGCACTATTTTAAGATACAAATTATTGCTATGGTCCTTAGTTAATCGACCTAAGGAGATATGTCAAATATGTATAGATAACATAATAATAATAATAATAAAGGAAAGAATGACTACAGAGCACCAAAAAAGAGAAGGATAAATGTAGATGAGCCATAGCAAATAAATCATACTGGAAGTTTTCAAAGTAATTTATTTTTCAGTTTCTAACATGCAATTAAATAGTATAGTATTTGTTTTCCTGGTAGTAATGGTTACACTTTCAAAATTAAGTAATCTTTGTAATCAGAGAGTATCTGATTGCATATCTTGGAAGTACCTTCAAGCCAAAAAGTAAGTTTAAGATGGTCCCCCAAGGGACCAACAGTTAGTGTAATGTCTATGTCACCGGACTCCCATGAGGTCGACCATGGTTTGAGTCCCGGACCCGGTGGCTTAAACTCACACCAGGCACATGTGCGTACATGCCCCAAGATCCTGAGAGAATAGAGGAGAAGGGATTGTGGAGTGGCCATCTCCCCTGGGGATTGGTTTCTCACTTTCTGTCTGTCTATCTCTCTCATCTTTCTGGCAAGTGCACATGCCCTATAGTGAAAACCTCTCCAAAAAAAAAAAAAAAGATGATCCCCCCAAAAGACATGTAAACTTTTAAGGACTTAACTGATTTTATTCACAGAAGAATTTTTTTGTGCCTCTTTCATAATAAATAACCTATTTTCCCATTTAGTAATCTCTTAGTTACCCTCAGAAGACTAGTTAACTGTCCTTGACAGTTAACAAGTAACTGTCAAGGAACTGCTATGCACTAGAATAGTAGCAGAAACAAAGACTGATAACTAAGAGCAAGGACAAGGCACTGTTCAAAACAGACAGAAGACCTTAAAAAGATAATATTTTAGACCCATTTAGTAGAAGGCCAAGCAAACCCCTGTAGACCTCAAGAGAGTTTCTTTGCATTCTAATGATAATGTTTCTGGGTCATTCAAGCAATGTTAAATTAAATGATTTATACTCCACTTTTAAAAAGTAGGAAATATAACGCATTTCATAAACATCCTTTATATTCAAAATAACTATTTGAATACTAGTTGTATGTGAGACTATGCTAATTTTTTAACTTATATTATCTAAATTATCTATAAAATAATCCTGGTAGTTAGATTTTATTATATGTAGTTTACATATGAGAAAACTATAACTCAGAGTTTAAGTCAACAAAACAAGGTTTCATAGGTAATGAGTGGTGGGATCAGGTTTGAATCTGTATCTGAATAACTCTAAAAGTATGACATGCTCTTAGCACCTACAGCATGGTTTATCCATGCAAAGTAAATTATTTTGAATTTAGCAACAATTGCCTATACTTTATTAGCTAGTACTCTTCCCACTTGATTCCCAGAGAAGTCAAGTAGCTAGGATAGTATTAAGACAAAGTAGTATTAAGTAGCGATAATAGGATTTGTGGTGTTAGCATTAATTTCTTTTTCTTTGCTTGGAAAATGCATTAATGCAAAACATTTCCAATACGGGGGGACCAATGGCATAGCAGTTATGTCACTGGACTCCCATGTAGTTTGAGTCCCAGACCCGGTGGCTTAAAACTCAGGCTGTGTGCATGTGTGCCCAAAATTCCAAGAGGAGAATGGAGGAGAAGGGATTGTGGCATGGCCATCCCCTCTAGGGGTGATTTCTTGCTTTCTCTCTCTCTGGCAAGTGCATGTGCCCTATAGTAAAAATCTCTCTCAAAAATAAATAAATAAATAAATACATAAATAAAGTAACTGTCCAATGCTGGATAAGTTAGATTTTACCTGCATAATTTTAGATTTATTTTATTTTCTCCTTTAAGTTTCGCTTACAGAATAAGCTCTCACAGCCGAGCTTTCCCATAGGTTTCTCACAAAGCCAAATAAACTGTCAGATACGATGCATTGTTGAGAGAGGATAATGAAAACTATAATGGAGTCCTTGCTACATGCCAGGCACTATTCTAGCACTTTGTGAACATAACTCATTTAATTCTTACAGTTGAGGATATCCTTGAGGAATAAGTTGTTCCTAGCTATATTTTACAAAGAGGAAATGGAAACACAAAGAGGTTAAAAATTTGACCAAGATGGGCTAGCCAGTAGTCCAGTGATTAAGGCTTCTGTATTTTACTTAATCGTCTGTACAGTTCAAGTCCTGGACCTGGAAAATTCAAAAACAACACCAGTTGTATGTGTGTACATGCCTAAAATCCTGAGAGGAGAATGGAGGAGAAGGGATTGTGGCACAACCTGAGGGGTGATTCTCACTTCCTCCCTCTCTCTCTCTCTCTCTTTCCCCATCTTCAGTGAGCATATGCACCCTATAGCAAACAAACAAGCAAAAACAAGAACTTGATCAAGATCATCTAGTCTAAGTGGCAGTGCTGGAGTTAAAATCCAGCAGTCTAGCTTTGGAATCCAAATACATATGTCTGCTACACTATGTATGCTGCCTTCTTTTAAATAAGTCAGAAATGTATATTTTCCAACTTAGAGTCTGCAAGCTGACTCTCCTAATAATGTACGCATTGTGTTTTATTTTCTAATTGAGAATAGAATTGGTACTACAAAAGACTACAGAAAACCACATGTGACATTGAAACAATGATTTATTTTGATGGTTAGTACAATTAACTGAAAAGTTGTAATTTTCATATTCATCCACAAGATGGTGAAATTCTCATTAGTTTTTAATTTCTTGTAACCTATATAAACTATTAATTTATAATCTGTATTTGGCACTATTTATTGTAAGCACTTTAATTTCTTTTTTACAGCCCATCTGCTGGTAAGGCCAAGATTAGAACAGCTCACAGAAGAATCATGATTTTGAATCACCCAGATAAAGGTAAGTAGAATCCCTGTTTTTCAGAATAATATAGATCAGAACATGCTGTGAATTCCTTTGAGTTTACTTAAACTTATTGTGAGTGACATATTATTGAAACAGAAGTTTTTGTGCCCTAGTATTATGATTTTTCTCATAAATTAATGAGCCTGTAGATTGGGATTTGGTTACTTTTTGAAGTAATGGATTTATATTATCAGATTTCGAGAATTTAGTTACTGGTTTTTATGTATGAATATTTGAACTTGTTTGATGCTTCTACCATTTTGATTAGAAAAGAAAAAGATGAATTGTAGACTCTTTGGTGTGTACTCTGATTTGGGCATCATGAATTATATTGATTTAACACTAAACATAAGAGTCCAAGATGTAGAGGATTTCCTCTAAGTCTTTGAATGTAATATGTCAGAGATGATTCTGTACTTCTTAATTTCATTCTAGAAGACTGAGGCTGAGCCATTTGTTTTTAACTGGCCAGGTTTTTAATGTAAATTTATCTTACAGAAAGACAATTATTATAACTTTAACTACACTACAGCTGCTTGAGAGAGAAAGCCCATATGTTCATTACTGTTTCTGCTTTAAAATAACAGATGGTAGAAAGTTGCACTGTATTTCAGAAGTCAAGGGGGGGAGAGAATGAAGGGTTTCTTGGAGTCTTATTTACAGACTTTAAGTTTCCTAGTTTTTTTGTTTTTTTTTTTTAAACTAAAAACACATTTTGGATTTTTGTCCATCCTAATCAGCACCAGAATAAGGCTGTCTTTTTGTTTTATCTCTTAATTACTTACTATAAAAATTCTTTTCACTAAGCATCATCTTTGTTGGTTTTTGCACTGGCTGTTCTTTACTGTGAATAAATAAGAGAATAAACTTTGAAAAGAGGTTTTGCTTAAAATTTCTAAATAGCTTCAAGAGTTGCTGAAAAAAACCACTCAACTAATTTAATTTACATCGTGGGTTTCTAGAGTAATTGACTAAGGGAAAAACTGTGTATAAGTGCCTCCTTGAAGCCCTCTCTGTCTCCTAAACATTCCCTGTCCCTTCGGGTCAAGTGAACTGTCCTTCTCTGATTGATTGTAGTAGGATCAAACACTCACGTCTTAGCAGATGATTGACAAGTTGTTGAGTGCACCTGTTGGCAAGGAAGCAGATTCTAAGATACATCTAAGAGACTATTTTTAGATAACTTTGATAAAAAAAAGAAAATGTTTATGTGCCTTATGAGCCAGTAGTGTTTAAAGAATTACTTAATTTATTCTGAGATACAGGTTGTACATCCCTAATCCAAAAATATGGAATCCTAAAGGCTCTAAAACCTAAAACTTGTTAAGTGCAGACATTATAGCATAAGTGGGAGATCCCACACCTGACCTCCTGTGATGGGTCTCAGTCAAAATGCAGGTGTATAACACATAGTTTACTCACTGTCGCTAAGGAAAAAAGAGTTTCTCAGCCGCTTTCAGCTATAATACAGCTTTTCTGCATATGCCCAGATTTCCTCACTTATGCACACTCACAAGGGGTATATGTAGATATTCCATAATTCAAAAAAATCCAAAATCTGAAAGTCTTCTGGTCTCAGCATTTTTCTCTGGCTTCTGCCTTCCCGACTCATGTTGTGGCCTTGAACACTCTTCACCTCTTCAAATGTCAAGTTTTATTATCCACAAAATGAAGAAATTCCATTTTGGCTGCCGTCCAGCCGGCAGGCTTATGTACTCACCAAAAATAGAGATAGAGAGAAGGAAAGAGAAAGAGAAAGCCCGTCCTCTCCACAAAGTAAGACATGGTGATGCCACAGTCCTTTTTTTTCATGCCTGGTGTGTTTTTAAAGCCTGTGGCCAGAATCGAACTGCCATTAGCTATATGGAATCTGCCTTTCTAAATGTAGCACTTAACCGCTGTGCCATGGGGCTGGGCCTGAAGGGATTCATTCCTGAAGTCTTTCTTGTTTCCATGATTTTAATGTAATAACATTTTATGCTTATTCAGTTAATGAAGAACTTGTACCCTATCTTTTTATTTAAATCACATTTTTAAGGACAACACTCTTCATCATCTAGATTATTGTACCGTTTAAGAGTGTGTTGACAGTTTTGGACATTTTCCATATAATTGCTTGTTCACCTCAAATTTAAAAACATTTGGCGTTTCAGAAAGTTTATACACTTCCTAAAATGCATCCATACAGTTAACCGTTAAAAACCCCTGCTCTCAGAAACTGGACATTTGGAAGTTATAATAGCTGGGAGGGAGGGCAACTGTAGATACTAGAGACAGTATAGGAGGGGGTAAGTAATAGGGGGTAGATAATTGGGGTTGGAGGGAGGGGACCAGGGAAAAAACAAATACCACAGTTAATAGCCAAGAAATGAAAAATTTTCTGCTGGTGATAATGTGTACGGTAATGCCTTTGACTTGACTAAAATGCACTGTATTCATGCTGAGAAAAAAACGATGTCGTACGCTGTAAAGATGTGCAGTGATTAAATGTAAATTAAAAAAGAAAAACAAACAAACCCCTGCTTTTACCTGTACTACGGTAGAAGTATAGTGAATTGCTGTGTATATGACAGAGTTGGGAGATGACAGCTCCTAAATATGAAAATGGTCTTCCTTTGAGAGGGAAGATTGTTTTGTTTTGTTTTTAATGGGAACAAGATAACAAATTTTAAATAAAAATATCTCATTGCCTTTGGAGAGAGAAAAGAGTATTTGGGCTAGTATGAGAATGGGCAACTTTTTAAAAAAAGAATTATTTAACTTAACTTTATTTATTCATTCATGTATCTATTTATTTATTTTAAGTTGACTGGAGAGTGAGAGAGAGAGAGAGAGAGAGAGAGTGAGAGAGAGAGAGAGCAAGCAAGCTACCAGGTCCGGGACTCAAACCATGTTTGGCCATGTGTGGGAGTCCAGTGCCCTTAACCACCACGCCACCCGCTGGCCCCCAAGAATGGGAAGAAAATGGGCAACTTTTAATTTTGCCTTCTCTTTTTTTAATTCTTCAGCATCTTTGTTTGAACAGTTCACCACTGGGTGTTATAGGTAGTTCCAAATACTTAAATTCTCTACAAAGTGCTTCTGAAATTCATGAATATATTCCCCTACTCTCTCCCCCACCCCCAAGTAACTTTTCTTTTGGTTTTGTTACCAGCTGGTAGAATAAATTTGGAACTTCAAATGTGTGATCAGCTATAATCTGTTACACATTTCATTATCAACTTCTGCAAAGAAAGTGACCCCAGAAAATTAGATGTGGGAAACAGCTGAAAATAAATTTTTTATCTCTAGTTTTAAGTGAGCATTCAGATGCATTTTGGTAAAATGTAAATTTTGCTATTTCAATTTAGTATGATAAAAAATTAGTACAATAAAACAAAAACAAACAAAAGACATACCTCAGGTCATTGATATGTTTTTGGATTAATATTTTTTAGATTATTGATTTTCTTGCCAAAGAAGAAAGTAAGTTACTAGAAAATCAGTAGTTTGGTATTGCCCACTGAATATAGGACAGACTAGGTAAATATGAAAGACTAGAACTTGGGTCAGAAGTGGCATAGTGGTTATGTTGGTTGCCACATGGCCGACTGCATGGTTCAAATCCTGGACCCAGTGGCTTGAAAAACACTGTGTGTGTGTGTGTGTGTGTCCCCAAAATCCCAAGGAGAGTGGAGGAAAAGAGACAGCAGCATGGCCATCCCTTCCAGAGGATGTTTCTCACAGTCTCTTCCTTTCTCTCTCCAGCAAGCACATGCACCCTATAGCAAATACTTAAAAGACTAGAAACTCAGAGTTTTCTTACAGGCTGTCTAATCCAGTGCTGCTCAAAGTATAGTTAGTCTGTTTGTGCCAGGCTAGTTTGTATATAATCTATGTGCAACAAGTTAAAAGTAGAAATTGTGCTGACTCAGTAGCTTAGCAGGGAGCTGGATCCCACAAGGCTGACCACGGTTGGAATCCTGGCCCTAGCAACTTGAAAAACATGCCAGGTATGTATGTGTATGTATGTTCTAAAATTTAAACAGGACGGAGATTTGGAGGAGAAGGGATTGTAGCATAACCACACCCCATTGGGATTTCATGTTCATATTCCTCCTCTCCCTGTTCCTCTCTCTCTGACAGGCCTATGTGCCATCTGGAAATTTAAAAAAAAAAAAAAAAAAAGATATTTGAAAACCTTTATAACAACTTGGCCTTGCCCTAATATTCAAATGGTGTGATACTTTTGTATTGTATGAAATTATTGGTTCATTAAAGATGGAGAAATAACAGTAAAAACATATAATTCTTACTTAATGTATTAGTTTTTACACTCAGTCTGTTTATACCTTTTGCAATAGTTTGAGATATACTGATCTAATCATTTTGCCTCTTAAATCAGTACTTTCTGCTCCATCCTGTTAGCTTTCCTTTGAAAGGTTGTTTCATAAGGTAGCCCACTCCATTAGTAGGCAGCTCTGACTACTTGAAAATTCTTCCTTATATTTAAATTAAATCTGCCTGCTTGCAGTAAAGAGATTCTCAATCTCTTTCCATTTATACCCCTTTCAATGACCATACAATCTTCTCACTCTTGAACAATATTTGACTCATTAAATTAAATATCAGGCTTAAAAACTAGTCAAAGTAATTATACTGTTGAATGGATTTTCCTTAATTACTCTCATTGTAGGAGAAACTAATTTTGACTTGAAGCCTTGGTAATAACACATTACAATTTATTATAGTATATAACATTCAGAACATGTAAATATTTAGAAAAAGAAAATTGTGATCACCGAGAGTCAACATGGATTCACTAAGAAGCAATTACCAATTAGCTTGATTGCCTTTTATGGTAAATGTACTAGGCAATTTGTTTCAGAGAACTCATTTTTATTTTCTTTTCACTTCAATATTTTATTTAGAGTTAAGGCTTTGTATTTGAATTCATTACTTTTTTGGTAAAGACATAATTTTGTTTTATCATACATTGGTTTTCCTTTAAATGG